ATCTTGTATTACTAAAAGCATTTATCTAACATAATGGCTTAGCATGATATTATTTCATTGGAATATCTGGTTTCATGTCAACAAGTTGATTTCATTTTCCAGTCTCAGAATTATACCCATGGAGGTATTAAGTCTAGTTCTCTATTGAAATCAATCTGAATTCAAGCAAATTACAGATTAACTCATGAACAAACTGTAAAAACAATTAACTAATTCGCTATGATGTAAAACTCATTATTATCTGGGAATTTTTATCGTCAAACAACAAAATATTATTCAATCAGTTGATCTACTTATTCATATTGTATAACAATGTTTTCATCTAAGGTTTAAGAATACAATTGTAATCAAATTTGCATGAGAAATTTGTTTACTCTTTCAGAATTTGAATCATCTTGATAATATATTCCAATTAGATTCTGATAAAGGCAAACAATTAAGCCTCTCAAAGTGTAATCATTTCAACGCATTTTAATCAACATAAATGGCTGATTGCAAGTCCTCAAATTAATCACCGTCAATATCATAAATTGTTTGTTTACAAGTTTAACTTTTATTACAACATGATGATCATGATGAAGATGATGATAATATGAAAAAGTTAACATGAAGGGCTTACAAGATTCAACCTTAATTTGATGAATTGAACGGATAACCTTGAGTATGTGTTTGTTTATGAAGGAAAAAAATTACGTATCTACAATATAAATTGTATCATATGTTATCTTGACTCATTTTTTTCATCATGATGATAATAATTCTGGATTTTTTTTACCATCAACATGCTATGAGTCCTCACGAAAGCAACAGAATTGATAACCTATGAAAATGAAACACAAAAAATTTGAGTAAAGGGAAAACATTGGTCAACTTCCGTTCTAATTGGCCATATAATATTAGGAACTTGGTAATAAAAGTAATTTAATGCTGGACTGAGCAATGATGATGGTCATCATCATGCTAAGGTAAAAGCGCAATAATCAGCAAAATATGATGAAGACCAAAAAAACACTGACCAGTAATTTATTATTATTTTACAAGGAATTGGGTCAACCTTTATCAATGAAGAAAAGGAGATGATGATGATGATGGAGATGAAGGATAAGAGAAGATAAAGATTAAGATGATAAATGGTAAAGGAGGAGGAATAGGCTGAGGTTCTGGTGAAGATAAAAAGGAAAAGGAAATCGTTGTATTAAGATGATCTTAATGATCTGAAAAGATTTTCTGATAAAACAGAATCAATGTTTTCCATTTTGCATCATTCCTCATCTTCTTCATCATCCTTGTCCTTATTTTTCTGTGCTAATTACTTGATACTCATGCAGAATGATGATGATAATGTTGTTGTTGTTTTCATCTATCATGAGATTCATGTGGCGTAATAAATTGTTACACCGCAACCAGAATCGTACATTAATTACATTAATTGGATCAAATGATTTTAGCAAATTTCTCAAACACCATCTCATGAATTAATGTAATTACAAGGATTGATAATATACTTTTATTTATTAGATTATTATCATTATTGAATAGATTGTGAACTGAATTATCCTGAATATTTATAGCCTGAGATTGAATTTCACCTTGACCGTTATATTCATTTCGTGCTGATGTAAACCCAAGTATCCTTAGTGTAAGAATAAGAAGTGATAACGATGTGCAATAAATTAACCATCAGAATCTTCAGAGTTTCATGAATGCATTTGCCCTGAATAAAGCTGAGTATGAACTTTTTTTCTTCTTCTTCTCGATTTCCAAAAGAAAAAAAACTTAACTAAACATATCAATCATCATTATGGGTTCAACCAAATGATGATTATTATCATAAGAGCACTGGGAGTACAGCATTGACAGAATGCTGGTAATTTCTGACAGAAGAAAATGTTTATTTAAAAGATTCTTTTTCTCCAATAATTTCTCTATGACATTTTCTGACAGGTAGAAAGGTGAAAATAAGATTTTCCTTTTGGGTTAATTTCTTGTCAACTTATTATAAGAATAATATTCAATATTAGTGAATATCAATTTCGTTATCATCAGAATAATTATATTATCGTAATAACAAAGATATGAAATTAATATGAAACTTTCGTGATATCTAATGTCCAATGATTATGATTATCATTAACCTGCTCAGTTGATTGATATCAGTTAATTATCATCGAGATATCAGTTTATCACTTGTAATCAAATGGTAATTATTATAATTGATAAGCTATCAAGATGATCAAAGGTATGGATTGATAATCAAACCTTAACCTTGATTGTTATTCTGATTTTGATTGTGATTGTGATTGTAATTGTAATATATTAATAGATGGTATTGATTAGAAATGACAAATTGAATTAGTGATAAAATTTTCACACGTAAATTGTTATAATATGATTATTGAACTCAAGGTTATAACCTTGATGATTTAATCATGTTAATCAATGTGATTATCATCATGATGGTATCAGATTGTTGTTGTTGCAATTTGATCAAATAAACATGAGAGAGTCAAAAATTATCCTCAGATTTTATTTGTCACAATAAATCAATATGATACTTATTTGGATAAACATCAATTTAATCAAGAGAAAAATTAATTATCTCAACAATTAAAGGATTGGATGAAGAAACTTTGTTGACTTAATTTGTTTTGATTAATTTTCTCAGATGACAGAATTTCCAATTCCAAATTTCCATTGAGATTTTTAATTATTTCAAGAATTTCATCATTTGCTATTCTGAACTTTGCATTCAATTAATATAATTTATCGATAATTTTACTTGATCACATCAAGGGTTTGTCATCTTGTTGTTTGGTTGAATAAAAGGCTCAATTAGTTGATGTAATTTCTATTGTTATTATCAGCGAAATGCTGATTAAGTTACCGTTATAATCAATTCCCGAAAGGGAAAACCCTGGGAAAGAAGTGAAAAAAAGTTCCATTCAGTTTGTAATCTCTCATTTGAAAAGAAATAATCAGATTCATTTCAATGTTACTTGATCAATCTCTCGGATGTAAATCTCATCGTTCTGAATCCAGATCTTTCTCTTTCATCATCATGTATCATCAAGACTGTGATGATGAAAAAAGAGGTGATTTAGCCTGAGGGGATGTCAATTGAAATGCTAATAACTTGCTCAACTGAATTACCTCAATTGATGAAAAGATAATCATTCCCTGTATTATTATCAGCATCTTCATAGTCATAGATACTTTTTTATCAGGGTTTCAAAAGGTTATGCAACCGAATCTCATGATTTCCTGAATATCATCATGTTGATAGAAATTCCTATGGATCTACATGAAATGATCTTCTTTTAACTTTTCTACTGCGAACATTTCAATAAATCGATTTCAATTAGTTCTCAGCTGATCTTCAGTTATCCATCATTCGATGGGCACAATGTTCTAAAAAGATAAAAGATTCACCTTTTTGATTTTCTTTTCTTTCTGTCAACAATAAATTTTATGTATTCGAACAAAACTTTTCCTTCCCAATCATTTTCCACCTGAAAATCAAGAGAAATTGTTTTTCTTCTTCTTCTTTTTCAGGATGGAAGCTTTTTCATCTTCATCATTTTCTCGTTGAAATGTTTCAATACGCAGGTAACATCATGATAATGATAACATATTCTCATGAGTCGAGTGATGAAAAAAAAAGGATTGAAATCAGGTAAATATTGGGAGAACAAGATTCCTGGGAAAATGAACAGAAAATTTTGTTAACCCGAACAAAAGTGAAAGATATTGAATGTCAAAGATTCTGATAACATGATGAAAATGCTCAGTTGATGGAGAAGAAAAAAACTTTCAGGGTATTCAGAACTTTTCATCTTCTTTCTTGATCCTCATTGTTTAATTTTCCTTTTTTCTCCAAATCGGATAATCTATTAAATCTTGCAACTTGATTCACTTTCAACATATTTAACAGTCAATCAGCTTTATTATCATATTATCATGATTAAGAATAAGTGATTAAGTTTATTGATAATTTCAAGGTTATTCAAATTCACTGATTACCATGTTGATCAATTTTCTTCCCCTGTTCCAAATACATTACCAATGAGATGATAATGATGAGGACCATTAGTAAACAAGCCGAGGTTAGGGAAGATATAAATTGTGATCAACTCAATGATGATCTGAAGATGATGAGGATAAGGATGAGGATGAGGATGAGGATGAGAAGGTTGCAGAGAAGATAAAAGATAAGCCAACTCTTTTTTTCTCCATCATCATTATCTTCATCTTCTCTCTTTCGTTTTATCGTTTTTTCTCTTCTTTTTTCTCTTCCTTGTTTACTTCTTATTTTGGTTGGATTTTCTTCTCCCGATTGACTATCTATTTCTTATCATCATCATTATCGAATATATACTGAATCTATGCTATCATCTATCGAATGAGAGTGAGAGAAGAGAAAAAAATTGGAGCACAGATGATGATGAGAGAGAGAAAAAGAGAGTGAGTCTTGTTATGTACAAAAGGAAATAGGAAGAGGAAGAGGAAAAAAATTCTATCCCAAAAAGAAAAGTATTGAGTGAGAATCGAAAGGAAATTCTGGTGAGAATGATAATGATCATGGTGATTCTGTTAAAGTGCTACGTGAGTTGATCCAAATAAAAATGTTCGTGGATTCATGAGTCTCCTTGAGTGTAGAAATGAATAAAAGTCATTCAAGGCTTTCGAATAATTTTTTGTTCCTATTTCAAGATTATCCTGGAATGAGATTCTCGTTTTTCCATGGGAATTGTTTCTCATTTAACTTTTCATCTATTAGATTAAATCAACTTATTCGAAGAGAAAAAGTTCGTTTACTATTGCATAAACCAATTCGAGAATAGAGAATATCTCAATTCCAATACTAATCAAAGAATTAATCATTTCAATCAGATTGTTATTCATTAATAAATTGCAACTTTGGTAACTGATAATTGTTGCAATTAGTCATGTTAATGAATGGAAAAAAACTTTCATATGATAAAAAAAGTTTCCAAACTCACCTTTTGATCAACTTTGCACAATTGATTGTAATCGAGATTGATTAATGTTCGATTGTGATTAGTTGATAATCACTTTCAACAGATTTTCGTGACTTACAATATGACTTTTGAACTGTTCTGATGTTTATTGATAACAAGGTGAATGTTAAACGATCGTATTTAGTTTGAATGATTGAGATTAATTGTTGAAAGAAAGTTTTAGATAAATTCGAAGGTCGAAGATGATGATATCTGTTGTTTGTTGTTCAATCGAAAGCAACGATAGAATGAAAACTCATACACAAGTTAAATCAGAATTTCGAATAAAATTTTCTTCTCTTCTATAATAATAATGATAACATTCTGTCTTTTTTCTCATTCTGTTTATATCAGAATAGGAAGCAAAATGTTTCCATAGTTACATGGATCTAATGAGTTGGCGCGATAATTTGCTGGGAGTCTTTTTATCTTCATCTTGATCCTCACCGAGAATTCACCATCTCTTCATGAATCACATATCGAAAACTTTGAGTTGGAAACTATGAAAAACAAAAAAGTTACATAACCCAAATGATTAAACTCGAAACTTAAACGAAAGAAAAACAAAATTGATTCTATGGAAATTAACATGAGAAAAATTTCGAAAAGATTTTAAAAAGAAAAATGAAAAATGAGAATTTATCGAATCCATCAGCCAATCTAATCAATTTTCCATCATCGAAAACAATCAGTTAATTGTCAACATTTATTTCAAAACAGAGTTTATAGTTGCCGCTCAATCAATCGAATGCCCTCTTGTGGTTGCGAAGAAAATAAATGTTCCCATTGAGAGAAGGTTGAGGTTAGTGTCATCTGGCGAATAGAATATCAACTGGTGGGGAAAATTCTCTTTGCCTTTTCTCTCTTTCTTTTCTCTTTCTTTTCGCTTTTTTAAGCTTTTCTCTTACTATTTCTCTCCTATTTTCGCCATCTTGTTGTGTTATTTGAATTGATTTTCACAATCAAACCTTTTCTTTTCTTACTCTATTTACGATTATCTCTCTTATTTTTTATTCTTATTTTGTTTGCTACCACAACGTTTCTGTTTTCTGCCGCGTGTTTTTATTCACTTCATTAAGATAATCCTTTCAATCGTTTAAATATGGAATCAGATTGGTGATAATTTTTGTGCAAGTATCTCTTTTTTTTCCTTTCTCTCTCTCTTTGTGTGTGTCTATTTCTAATTTTTCTCTTTCTCTCTTTCTATTTTACTTTCAACTTGTCTTTCTTTTCCTTTTGCCTCTCCTTTCTTTTCCTTTCCCTTCTTGGTTTTTTTTTGCTTCTTCTCTAACAGTCAACATTTACTATTATGATGAATCAAATTCTCTCCTTTTTTATATGTATATTGTTATTGTTTATTTATTCTGTTTTCTCTGTTTTCTCTTTTACTTGAACAGTTTATAATTGGATTGTCAATAGTCAATGAAGTTTGACAACATGGGAGAAGATTCTGAGAGAGATTCTTTTATGAAGCGGTTGGCCGCATTCAATGAATCCCGTGGTGTTTCCATGACCTCATCACCAACGATTAGTAAACAACCACTTGATTTATTTGTTCTGTACACTATTGTTAAAGATAAAGGTGGTTTCCAAGAAGTTTCGAAGATTAAAGGATGGAAAGAAGTGGCCACTGTGTGTAATTGTATGGTCAATCCAAGTGCTGCCTATGCGATTAGAAAACAATATATTAAACATATTTTGCCATTTGAGTGTAAATTTGATCGAGGGGGCATTGACCATACGACGTTAATTCCACAAGTGGAAAGCAAATCAAAGAAATCTAAAGATGCCATGTCACCAGGTCATAGTGATAGCAATTCGCAAAGTGGTTTCCCACCGACTCCCGGCTCCATGGAACCACCTTCATCACCCTATCCTTCTGGGCCATCGCCCATAGGTAACAACTATCCACCCGGTTATCCACAATCTCACCCGGGAATGTATCCAAATATGATGGGTATGAATCCAGAATCATATCCAGAAACAGGTGGTCCATATGCTGGACATCATTCTGGTTATCCACCGGGACATCCAGCCAGTCATCACGGTCAACCACCTTCTCTACCACCTCCTCATCCAGCACCTAGACAACATTCACCTCATCCTGGTAGGAAAAAAGGAGGAGCATCTGTTCCCTCTCCTGGTTCAGCTGACTCAAACTCGCAAGGTAGTTATCCCCAATCCACCACACCGGTTCAGTTTGAGGGACCATATCCAGGTCATCGACAACCACCGCCTGGACAAGGTTACCCTGAGAATCAAAATTATCCACATCAAGGAGCCATTAATGATTATGGTCCCAATCATCATCCTGGACAACCACCTCAGCAACCACCTCAACAGCCACCGAGCAATTATGGGCATTTGGGTGGTCATTTACCTCCTGGAATTCAACAGCAAATGTCTCAACCACCTCGCCAACAATCTCCTCATCCGAATAGGAAAATGATGAAAAGTGGTGATAACAATTATCCTCAGCCAGGAAATCCAGCAATAGGCTCTCATTATCCTCCGCCACCACACCCAGGATCAGGTCCTGCTCCTGGTCCAGGCCCCGGTCCTGGTCCCGGTCCTGGTTATCCTGGTGCTCAACATTATCAGTATCCTCCTTATCCTTACCATCAACCACCTCATGGTCAATATCCTCAACAGCACCCGCAGCATCATCAACACTTGCAACATCCTCCACATCCTCAGCACCCTCAACATCCATCACATCATCAACAACATTTACCATTGCCCCATCAACAAGGTTCCAATTATTCACCCAATCCCCATGCTAGTGGAGCTCCTTCAAAATCCAATTCTGCTCCACATCCTCCTCAACCTTCTCATTCACCTGCAGGCAACTCAAATCGATCTGGTGAGAATTCAGACTCATACTCGTCTGAGATGCAACCATCTACGTCAAGTGGTCATCGTCGTCATCCGTCAGGTCACCAACAGCAACAACAACAACCAACTAATTTCGAAGGTCCTAATCGAACTGGTCCAGGAGGCTACTATGGTCAACATGAGCAACAACAACCACCTCATCATCAACATCTTCGTCATCCTCATCCACATCAACAACCACAACAGCAACAACAGCAACAACAACAACAACAACAACAACAAGGTAAAAATGGTCCATCCTCTGAATCGACCACCGAGAATTCAGGATCCCATAGTCGTCCTAATAGTAGACCAAATAGCACAGGAGCAGCGAGTCCTGGTGCTTCTTCCAGAGGATCTGATAGTGGCAATAGCAAAGAAAATCAAGATTCATCTAATTCATCCAATTCATCGCAAAATCATCCATCTTCTCATCCCCCGCATCCTTCGCATCCTTCGCATCCATCTCATCTTCCACATCAGTCTCAGCCTCCTCATCCACCGAGTATTGAGACTGGTCAGCGTTATCCTCATCCTCATCCTCATCCTCATTCTCAAGCCTTGCAACCACCGATCAACAATTACCCACAGAGACCACCAATCTCTGGATCATATGGCTCAGGTCCAGCTAATCAACCCAATTACCCAGGAATGAATGACAATTATCGCAGCAATGGTCCATCAAATGTACAGGTGAGTGATTTTTGTTGATTGTTCTGCTGATTTGATTTGATTATATTTTTATTTTTATTTTCATGTTTATTTTCATTTTTTTATTTTCTTTCATTTTTTTTTGCACGAAAGACGTCAACCCATAATAGTCCACTTGCCCAGCGACTTTTAGCTGCCAAGTATAATCAACCTAATCAACAAGTAGGTTTTTCTTTTTTCGTTTTCTTTTCTTTTTTATTAATTTTTTATTAATTTTTATTTCTATTTTTTCAGGGATCGAATTACGATACAACGGTTTATCCTGCAAATAGATCATCTCCTAATGGGCCGTCAGGTTATGAATCAGGGGAGAACAATTTCTATGGCACAAATGCTCCTCCAACAAGTGGTCAGGAATCAGGACCGGCTCCTCAACATCCACCGCATCTTAAAAGACATCCTGATTTCATGAAACCTGATCATAAATCACAACATCCTGGTCAATATGGACCTTATCCTGGTAGGCCAATGGCTCCGAATTACCCTCAAGGTGGCAATGGACCAAATCATGGTCATCAAATGTGGAATCGTGATCCCGTTTTTAGAGGTAGTCCAGGGGCTCCTCCTCCGCCACCTAATATGACAACATCATGGGACCATCAATCTCGAACTGATCCAGGATCTTTGCCACCTCCACCTCAATCTCTCCATCCGAATTCAGCAAGACCTGAACTTGGACCATCAGTTCCAATGGTCAACAATGCAGCAGGTGGTTGGCCCATGAATCGGTATCCACCACCACCAGGTCAATCTCCTGTCCCACCACCATCACAACAACAGCATCAGCAACAACATCAACATCAACCACCACCCGGAATGAATCATAATTATCCACCTTCTACTCAACCTGGCTACTCTTATCCACCTGATCATCCGATGAATAAAATGAATCAAATGCAAAATCGAATGTATCAAATGCCTGGTGGACCACCAATGCCACCTAAAGCTCCATCACAACATTTAACTCGACTTTTATGTTCATCACCGAGTCTTCCGTCATCACCCACACCGAGTCCACATTTGGGAGCACCAAGATCACCTCATCCTCATCCTCATCCTCAAGCTCATCTACAAGCTCTACCACACCAACACCAACATCCGCACTCTCTTCAACATCCACATCCACATCCACATTCTCACTTACCACCACATCCAGGTCATCCAGGCCACTCTGTGCACCCAGGACATCATCCTCAACACCCTCAACATCCTCATGGCCCTCATGGTCCTCATCATCCTCCAATGCCGTATAGTCAAATGATGATGAAAAGAGAGTTAGTTTTCCCTGTGGGAAGTGTTGAAGCCACTACACCAAATCTATTCAAAAGACGCAAATTGAATTGCAAAGATTTGTGTCCTACTGAAGCCTGGAAATTGTTAATGAGTCTTAAATCGGGTTTACTTGCAGAAAGTACTTGGGCAATAGACACTCTCTCAGTTTTAGTTGCCGATGATAATAGTTACCTTTACTTTGGACTTCAACATTTGCCTGGATTACTAGAAACTTTATTAGAACATTACAAAAAGTGTCTCAACGACATGTTCGAAGGACTTTTCAAGGACACCGAAGTCAGTGGTCACATAGAAACACCTTTACAAAATGGTATCAAAAAAAGTCGAAAATGGTATCAGATTGGATCTGATTTCGATGAGCTTTCTCAGGATAATGAAAATGGTGATGATGCAAATGATGAGAATAGTGATGATGATTGTGTAACTGGTGAATTCGAGGGAATGACGGATGTAAATATAATGAAAAAAAGTGTCAGTGGCAAGAAAGAAATGACCAGGAAATTGGATCGGGCGATTAATGTCAACATTCCGAAAATGGATCAACAACTGAAAATGTTGAAATCATCTTTAGATTTAACTTTTACTTCTCGCAGCGGAAAATCTGTGAGAATGGAAAATGCTGAGGCTCATCTATTTGTTACTGATTATGAAAAGAAATGGGATCCATTTAAAAATGGATTCAAAACCGGTAGAGATCATTGGTCAAAGGGATATGGAGAAGCCACTGACCACATAATCACACACTTCGAACCAAAGGAAAAGTATCTCAAACTTGTTAAAGTTATCAAAACAAAAAAATAAGTCAAAAAGTCGAGAAAGAAACAAGATTCATCATTTTCTGTTACATCAACCACTTCAATTACCAATAACACCAACCACACAACAACAAACTCAAATATAAAAACAACATTGTGAATAATAGTATTATGAATAACAAAGATGATGTGTCTTCCAATCAATCTTTAGTTAATGGTAATTGTGACTCTAAATTAAGTTCATCTAAAAAACCATTTATTCACAATGATCATCCAAAAAACATCAAATCAGAAGTGAAAGTTGATTTCGATGATCTTGAAGATGAGCCTGAGGATGAAGATGATTCTCCTCTTGCAACAATTCAAGATTATTATGATTCAATCTCACAGAGATGCCTGTGTCTTTCCACCTTAATAAGAAATTTATCTTTTGTGCCTGGTAACGATATCGAAATGTCCAAACATCCAGGACTACTTGTTGTTCTTGGACGACTCTTAACATTGAAACACACTCATGCTGTTAAGAAGAGCAACTTTACCAATGATACAAGCAGCAATTCCACACCATCAATACCCCAAACATCATCATCATCATCATCGTCATCATCATCTAGTGAGGAAGATACAATTGGATCATCTAACTGGTGGTCGGAATCAATTCATCTTTTAAGAGAAAACACTCTTGTGACTTTAGCAAACATTTCATGTCAACTCGATCTTGACCCTCATTCGGAAAAATTAGTTTAAATATTTTAGATGGTTTATTACATTGGACCGTTTGTCCTTCTTCCTATGCTCAAGATCATCTTCCGACCACCACAGTTCAATCATTCACCCCGAAGAGACTCGCCTTGGAATCACTCATGAAATTGTCCATCATCGACTCAATGTGGATCTAATGTTGGCCACTCCACCTTGGAGCAGATTAGAGAAATGTTTACCATGTTAGCAAAGATGTTGAATCGAAATGAAGATCAAACTTTACGTGAATTTGCTCTTGTGTTATTAACAATTTCGCTGCCGCTGATTCTAGTATAGCCCGTGCAATAGCTTTGACTGGTTATGCGATTCCTCAGTTAATTGGGTTCATTGAACAGTCAGAACAATCAGCATTACAAGTAGCCAATACACAAGGATTAAATGCTTTACGTGATAATCCAGAGTTGATGGGGACAACACTCGATATGGTTCGAAGAGCTGCCATTTGTTTGCGACATTTCGCCAGGATACCTGAGAATAGATCGATGATATTAGTCCATCAACAAAGACTTTTATCACTTGTTTTCTCTCAAATTCTCGATCAAGGAGTCGCTTCAGTGATCGCTGATGTTATTTATGAAGTGTCTCTTCACGATGATAGTACTTTACCTCATCCGCACCTGATTTCTTTAGAAAAATCATCATCTGTACATACGAAATCATCTCCATCTCCATCATCATCTTCATCTACTTCATCATCAACAACAACCACCTTATCGTCATCATCATCGTCCTCAATCACCACTACAACTACAACGACAACATCAGGAACAACAACAACAATCACAATCCATAATAATAAGGACGAAACAAATGGAGATTCATCTCAAATCTCTGATGAAGGTAAAAGCGATCAACAAGCTGATTCATCACAATTCTCATACCCTTTATCAACATGTTCCAAAATTGGAGGAACAATCAAGCCTTGTGATAATCCGGATAATGAGCTGGAAAAAGCAGATAAAGAAGACACAAATTCCAATAATCAAAGATGCAACGGAAATCTATTGGTCACAATTACATTTCTCTGTTAATTAACTTGTCCTGAACTTTTTTTCTTTTCTCAAATCATTGTAACTTGGCTGTAATTCTCTCTATTCAGAGTCACTAAATAGAAAACAATTGTAATAATTTATTCCTTCTAAATATTTCTCTTTTTCTTTCTATTCCATTATATGTAAATTATTATTTATGAAAATTTTCCCATTAAATTAACTAATTGAATCATTTTCGAAATTTAAATTTCTCAAATCTTAAGAATGAAAATTGTGTCACCTCTTCGAATGATTAATTGTCGCATAAACTAAGATGGAGGCACTTCCACAATTAATTTCTAAGTTTCAGTTGATAAAGAAAATCATCTTCATTGCTTTAGGTGTTTTTGCATACTGAGTAATTCAGATTCTTTCTTTGAATCTATGGGTAATTAAGTTGAAACAGTTTATCAATTAAACAATTTATCTTATTGTTTAATTTGTGAAACATCTTAAACAATAAACTGGTTGAAGGAAGATTTAAGATAAACTTTTCGCTAAGAAATAAAAATAAGAATAAGTTTATCAACTTTTTGGTTTTCATTCAAAACTTTTTCTCAGTTTAGTTTTCAGTGTCAGTTCAACAGGTTAATTTTTGTATTTCTTTCCGAAACTTTTTTGTTTTTTGATTCTATTCTTTATAATCAAATTTTTACACGACTACAAACATGTTAAAACTTCTGCAATTTGTTTTAATTATCTTGTTGATTGTTGTAATTGAATGTCTGCCACTAGATCGATTTGTACATTTATCAATCAAATCAAATCAAAACGAAACTGATAATCGATTACAGTTTTCACCAGGTCATAGTGATAGAAATTCGCAAAGTGGTTTCCCACCGACTCTCAGCTCCATGGAGCCACCTTCATCACCCTATCCTTCTGGGCCATCGCCCATAGGTAACAGCTATCCACCCGGTTATCCACAATCTCACCCGGGAATGTATCCAAATATGACTGACGGGAATCTGGAATCAGGTGGTCCAGATGATGAATATGATTCCGGACTCGAAGATTACATTAAAGAGAGATATTTAAAAACCGCAAAACAAATTGTGGAGGAGTGGATGGACGAACTCGTTGTTTTAAATCGACATGGAAGGATTTGGGTTCGTTCGAAGGTTCATAATCAGTTATTTCCTGGTTCAGCTGATTCTAATTCGCAAGGTAGTTATCCCCAATCCACCACACCGGTTCAGTTTGAGGGTCATACAGGTCATCGACAACCACCGCCTGGACAAGGTTACCCTGAGAATCAGAATTATCCACATCAAGGAGCCATTAATGATTATGGTCCCAATCATCATCCTGGACAACCACCTCAGCAACCACCTCAACAGCCACCGAGCAATTATGGGCATTTGGGTGGTCATTTACCTCCTGGAATTCAACAGCAAATGTCTCAACCACCTCGCCAACAATCTCAGTATCAGAATTGGCAAATGATGCAAGGTAGTGATAACAATTATCCTCAGCCAGGAAATCCAGCAATAGGCTCTCATTATCCTCCGCATTCGCAGCCTGGTCCCGGTTCTGGTTATCCTGGTGCTCAACATTATCAGTATCCTCCTTATCCTTATCATCAATCACCTCATGGTCAATATCCTCAACAGCAATCGCAGCATCAGCAACACTCACAACATCCTCTACATCCTCAGCACCCTCAACATCCATCACATCACAATTAGTATTAAGGCTGACTGATGATATTAGTCCACCAACAAAGACTTTTATCACTTGTTTTCTCTCAAATTCTCGATCAAGGAGTCGCTTCAGTGATCGCTGATGTTATTTATGAAGTGTCTCTTCACGATGATAGTACTTTACCTCATCCGCACCTGATTTCTTTAGAAAAATCATCATCTGTACATACGAAATCATCTCCATCTCCATCATCATCTTCATCTCCTTCATCATCAACGACAACCACCTTATCGTCATCATCATCGTCCTCAATCACCACTACAACTACACAACAACAACAACAACAATCACAATCCATAATAATAAGGACGAAACAAATGGAGATTCATCTCAAATCTCTGATGAAGGTAAAAGCGATCAACAAGCTTATTCATCACATTTCTCTTAATTGTCCTGAACTTTTTCTTTTCTCAAATCATTGTAACTTGGCTGTAATTCTCTCTTTTCAGAGTCACTAAATAAGTCTTTTTCTTTCTATTCCATTATATGTAAATTATTATTTATGAAAATTTTCCCATTAAATTAACTAATTGAATCATTTTCGAAATTTAAACTTCTTAAATCTTAAGAATGAAAATTGTGTCACCTCTTCGAATGATTAATTGTCACATAAACTAAGATGGAGGCACTTCCACAATTAATTTCTAAGTTTCAGTTGATAAAGAAAATCATCTTCATTGCTTTAGGTGTTTTCGCATCAAAACAATGATTAAGGAATTAGAAGAAAAGGAGATTATGATTAATCTTCTGTTTCCATGGAAGTTCATCTATTTGAAGATTTTCTTTTCATTCGAAACTTTTCTTTCTTAGTTTATTTCTGTTCATCGACTTCAAAGATCTACAATTGAAAGATGAAAATGTCACAAATACTCTATACTTTTTCGATTTTAATCATTACCCTCGTAATTACTGAATGTTTTTCGGTTGATAATCATCCAGCTCCTTTCGTGTACCTAAAATCATCAAGCCAAACTTCTGAAAACTGGCAACCACAACCATCTCAGGTACAGCCTGCTCTTGATTACCCTCGTTATCCAGTACAATCAGAGCCTCCTCGCTATTCAGATACAGGGAATCAACAACTCTATCCTCAGCAATATCCTCAATATCCTTTTCCACCTCAGCATACACAATATAACACCAACAACTACAACCTGGTAGCACCAACATTCAATCATCCTCAAGCCTTGCAACCACCTCAACAGTTACAACCACCGATCAACAATCACCCAGGAGTAAACAATGATCATCGTAGCAATGGTCAATCAAACGTACAGGTAAATGCTTTTTAATTGAAATTTTTCTTTTCGGATTTTGATTGTCTGATTTGCTCTTATTTACACTTTGTTTTCTCCATTTTCTTACTGAATGAAAAGCCATCGACCCATTATCACAATTATTCCAACAATATCACAATAATTAACAACTATCATGGCCATAAACCTGACATATTATAAAGGTGCTTTGACTCGTTACTTCAGGAAAGTGAGAAAGTTTTTCGTTGATAGAAAACATTATTTCAACCATGAAAACTTAAAAACTTTTACGGATAAAGTTCTCATTCCAGTGCTAATCGCTGTTCTTGACCACCACAGTCACCATTCAAATCACGGTATTCATTTCCATCATCATCATCATTGGCGTCGTCGTCGTTATCTAGTGAAGAACATACAATCGGATCATCTTGGAATTACTCATGAAACTGCAAATCCATAACTCCAATGGAGATCTAACGTTGATCACTTCGCCATGAAACAGATTAGAGAAAATGTTTACCAAAGATGTCAAATTGAAATAAAGACTAAACTTTAAGAGAACTGAGTAACTATTATCAAATAAAAAATAATATCGCGCCAACTCATTGAGAGCTTGTAACGATGGTAACATTAGGATGTTGATCATGTCGATTTATGATTCAGACAGAATCAGAATGAGATGAGTAAGAACTCGAAAGAGACACTTGGAGTTTTCTTTTTACTCTTCTTTCCACTTTTTCTCAACTTTTCTTTCAGTGAATCATTTTTATCATCATTCGACTAAACTTATCATCAAATCATCTCAATCAACATTTACCATCGAATCTCAACAGTTTACAAGTTGAGTGAAAATCGAATCGAGTTGAAAATTGGAAAACTATTGTTCTAATTTGATTTAAATTGTTCCCTAATAGTTTCATTCTCAAGTGTTAAATCAGTAAATTCAACTTTAATTAGATTCTGTGTATCGCAATCATAATCATCTTCCAATAATTGAATTACTGATAAACAATTTAACTCTCAATCAATTGATCAACTTTTCCATCAACAGGTAAGAAAAATTTTCGATCAACAATTTAAAGTTTTTCATCTTTCATGGATTCAAGGCAGAAAATTCCCTCATCATGATTTCCCATAAATTCTGAATTTCAATCATTCTCTTTATTTAAATTATCATGATGATTATTATTAAATTTTCATGGAGTAGCAAATAATGTTAACAGTAACAATTCACCAGAGAATCAGAATATATTAAATATTGAAATGTTATCATTTACTATTAATATTAACCTTGTTATCATGATAACAATAAACGTTCATCCCCACGAATCAGTTTTGTCAACAATTTCCTCATCATTCTGATTATAATATTTTTTATCATTCTAATTTGAGTAAACATTGAGGTATTATTAAATTAGATGATCAGAATTTAATTGACTTGAACCAAAGAAACACACAAACGATAATAATTAAAATTGAAACTGAATTCATGATGACAGTTATTTCAACTTCAACCATCAGTTGATAGCTTTGAAACTGAATCTTCGCCATGATTATGTTATAAATCAATTTTTGGTGATTATTTTGATTTGATTCTGTGAGAGTTTTGATAACTCTGATTCTAAAACCAATGCTCCAATGATGAATAATATCCTATCTTTCAATTGAATCTAGAATATAACAAGAATAATAATGAAAACTTCACGTTTGTTTGTATAACATGAATTCGAGGGATAAAAATATCACCATGAACCCGAATTTCAATGATAAAAGAATAAGAATGTAAATACATCTAATCTTCGTTTACCTGAACTCAACTTTTCTTTTTCATCTTCATTTTATGTCTTCATAAATTCATCATCATCTTATAACTTATTTTATCTTCTTACTAAGTTAATACTTTTGTCAAGTTGACGAAAAAAAGAGAAAGAAAGAAAGAAGAGTTCTAACAACGAACTTACCTGTAACAATATGATCTACTCGAATCATTTTTATCCAGAGAAGAAAAAAATTCTCATTACCTAAAGTATATTATGAATATTCATGATTAAGATGATATTTATCATCTTAATTTTCAGCATCTTCATTATCGTCTCACTGAAAGGTAATAGAATGATAATTATGCTGATAAAAAGTAAATTATGTTCAAGTTTACAATCAACTAAATCATGAACAGGATTAAAATGGAATCACTTTTGACATGGCAAATTTTTCTTCCTTCTTAACATCAATATAGCTGATGAATAAAGGAATTTAGGAATAGAAATGTAACTTGAAATTATTAAATAGATAAGTTTAATGATTAAAATATTGATTTTGTCTCTTTGAAGGCATATAAACTTAATGAGTTTTAACAAAATCTCGTTAATATCTTTACGAGATACTATTAACTCTTTTCGTCTTTTTGCTTTTACTAAAATCAAAGGATAATTTAGTTAAGATTAAATGTTAACAATTAAACATTTACAACTCGTCGCTTCTCAACTGAGAAGCCATGACAAAATTAATATTGATAAAATTACAAATTCTTCAATTACAAATTCAATTTAATCTATTGCTATAAAATGAGAACAGTGACGAATTAACAATACTATTGCTTAAATGAGAATAAATTGTTAACTAAATACTATTGTTAAATGAGAAACTAAATGTTAACTAAATACTATTGAAATTACAGAATTGTTAACTAATACTATTAATCTCAATGATTTTAACTAAATACTATTGCTTAAATGAGAACATAAATTGTTAACTAAATACTATTGCTTAAATGAGTAATTTTAACTAAATCTCTTAAATTGACATTAACTAAATACTATTCTTAAATGAGAAGCAGTGACATTCAACTAAATGTTAAATGATTATGACATTAACTAATTATTAACTATCAAATGATGATTCGTTAACTAATACTATTGTTAAATGAGTGACTAATTAACTTACTATTAAAATGAGAAGCATGAATTTAACTAAATCTATTAATGATATTAACTAAATCTAATGTTAATCATAAATTAACTAATACTATTGTAAATGATAAATTCTTAATAATACTATTGCTTAAATGACATGATTGTTAACAATACTATTACTTCAAGATTAACAATAACTAATACTATTATTCAAATGCATGAAATAATAAATACTAGAAATGAGTACATTGTTAACTAATACTATTGCTTATCTATTGTTAACTAAATCTACAAATGTATTAACTAAATATATACTAAATGACATATTCCGTTAACTAATACTTATCAAATCATCTTGTTAACTATACTATTACTCAAATGCATACTTGTTAATATACTATTGTAAATGATTTTCAACTAAATCGCTAATTAACTAAATACTGAATGAACATGAAATTCAATAAATCTATTGAAATGACTAAATATTAAGATATAGATGAACATAACCATTCAATATCATGAATCTTAGTGATAAAATCAATAATCAATGGGATTACAATTAACTGGAACAATTTGTCAATAAGATCAACAGCTATACAGTAATTAGAAAACTTGATTCAGATTATCATCTATTGTTAATCATGAAATATCGGTAACTAATAAATTAGATCTCAAATATCGATCTATGAAATACTAACATCGTATAATCAACAATCAATCGCTACACCATCAAAGCTTTTCAATTGTTTATAATCTAAGGTAACAAAAGTATAGGAAAATTCATCATTCATGAAATGATGAATAAATATGATTCAATGGTGATCATGATTCACCTCTAATAACATCTTAATGACAGAATTTCACATGATGATATAAGATATCTTGTAACCTTTATATTCATTAACAATCGATGATATTTTACTTGTTGTTACTCTGTTTAGATTCTAAGTTCGAGCTGATTAGAACTTTCTTTCTCTCTTCTTTTGTAACTGTCTAAATAGAGATAAAGAGAGAATAAAATAAGTTTCTTCTTATGTAAATATTAATAAATTATTATTATGAAATTTGAGATCTGTTTTCACCTTAAGCTTATTTATTGTTCTGTGTGTTTGACAGATTCATTTTCTATGTATTTTCGTGTCTCTAAGATGGTGATGTTGATGCAGAAAGTGAATCAACATCTTCATCGTCATCTTCCTCTGTTCAACCAAAAACAAACATGAGAAACTCAAAGGTTCACATTTGGATGGAAAGATAAACAGCTTCAGGGTTTTTCATGAGATTCAATTCATTTCGTTTCGTTTGAAAAACTCACCAAAACTGAAGAGAGGAAAAATATCATCACAATATCATCATCATCTCTATCCAGCTCATTATTTAGGTCTGATTATCTGCTAGTGCTAAGCATTAGGGTTCATGGGTTCAATTTACCTCTTGACAGTTTAGCATTTAAGTTTATTCACATTAAATTAACTCCAAGTTGACTTTTTTGATTCTTTGCTTGTAAGTCAACAGCTTATCATGATTATCATTCTGATGAAAATTCTCATTCTATATTTAATATAACGAACAATGGATAAATAATATCATTTTCCCTTTATCACCATGATCAAATTTCCACTACCTGTGGTTCATCATCAACTTTAAAATTGTTTGGTTGAATTTTTCTGCTCATTTTCATGGTAATTAAAGTTGTAGAAACATTTTCCTCTTCATCATTAATACTTTCACTAACTTATCAACATTAATTCATATTATTAACTCAATTAACTTTATTGATCCGTTAATTTAACCCAAAATATATAACTTGAACGGAAACAACATCAATGATAAAATAAAAATGTTATCAGGAAATGAGATCCAACATTCACCTTGACAGATTGAATATATAAATTCATGTTACTTTAACAGCCACAGATCTTGAGGCTTACAGAACTTTTATCTGATTCTCATGAGAATGATGATTCTGTGAATCTCATGAAGAAGAAGAAATTTCAATTGTTGCAATCACAATTTGGTACCGTTTTTCTCATCACAACTTTTCTCTTCCTTTATTTGTTTGACAATTTCTCTTCAATGAATGGATGAAATTTCCTATTCAACTGAGAAAGTAAAAGTTCAGGATAAGGAAGTAGAAAAAAATAAAGAATCGAACTTTATTTTTGAGAAAAAGAAAAGGTAAAGGGAGAAAAAAGAGAAAAAGTTTCAGTAATGAAGATGAAAGAAGATGAAGATGAAGATGATATTCTTAACCTTTGTATATACATAAAGATATTTATGTTACCCCATTGATTCAGATAAATAACATTGAGATAATTACCTTCATCTCGGTGGAATCATGTTCCTCGATAATAGAATAGCTTTGAAATATGTTCCATTCTCTAGTTTGAGTTTAGTTCATCGAAAATTGTTTTCTCTTCCCTCTTTTAATATGATAGTTATTTTATCAGTTTCAATGGTCGATTATCTCTCAATATTTATCTCAACTCTGAATTCCCTGAACAGAATAAAATAGAAAGTAACAAAGTTAATATAACAGTTATCGTCATGTCCAGTCAATCGGAATCAATATGGTTTTATATTATTTCCATTTCAATCATCATCATCTTCATCTTCATCACCATCAATTTTATCATGGAAACTGTTCATCTTTCACTTATCGTTATTTTATCATTAAATATCTTGATGATGTCTTCATGATGATGAGCTTTGCACAAATATGAATTAACCTCAGAATCGAGATGAATCTTGTAATTTGGTGTTTCCGCTATTCGATTGCAAGATAACATTTAATTAGCAATAAATTCACAGATCAATTGTTGAGCCAATTCTTATTGTTGATTCATTTCTGAACAATTAAGATACTTTTGGTTTGTATTCTGTATCATTGATCTAATATTGAAAATTGATGATTCTCCGTGATAATATCCATGTGTGAAATTAATATTGTTTTATTTATATCGGAAGCGATAATAATATTCACCCAGAATCATAATCATTCATGAGTTAAATGTAACATCATCATCAGAATATATGACCAGAGGTTAGATTAATATTAATTATCTGATATTGAAGGTAAAGTTCAATCCTCACCAGAGATGATGTCTAACTTATAATCATTTCTGTACTGGTTACATGATCGTGATCAATAAAGATGACATTTTCATGTTCATAGATAACGTTGGATTATTCATGTGAAATAACCAGAATTTTTCGCCATCGTTAACTGCTTAATGCCTTTGATTTTCTGTCACTTTAATGTAACTGTTTCCATAAAATAT